TTATTTTTCGCAAGAATCTAAATGAATTAAAGGAAAATCGAAAAATAATACCAGACAGAGGTAAAGTAAGAGATGAATTTAACGACTACAAGGACGTTTGTATCTTGGTTGATGTTGTTATTCCGTCAGAACACCATTAAGAGTATAGGAATTTCAAAACGGCTCGACTTGTTTGCTTTTCCTTTTTGTACCAAAGAAAAGTCAATGCAGGAATTCCTCTAGCAGATGGGAGCTTCCAATAGCAATAAATCACTCCCGTCGGACTGTTTTCCTATGCTTTTTCGGTACCAAAAAGAGATCATTTTTGCTCTGCATCAACGCTTAGCAATGATTTATTGCGTGTCAAGAACAGAAAGCTGTCTGTATTGGATTCTTCTCTGTGCTGGAGGATTACTGAAAGGCTAGGTATAGAGTAGAGTAGGCTCGAGTATAAAGTCTGATACTTTTTATAAGTTGATTGCTTTTTTTATTGTTTTGGACGTATAAGGGAAAACGTAAATTTGTGAAGAAGTAATCACCAGCGTTTGAATTGCACAAGAAATATTTATATTACTAACTATGCAACATTTTTTCCTCGTTTGTAAAGCATTTGATGCTTCATTACTGTACACTCATTATACTTGAAAAGAGCTTATTGCATGATTGACAAGCAGATAATTTTTCTTTTGTGTATTCTTGCATCCCTGCAGAAAATGCTCATTTTTTATCATCATTGATAGATAGTTTCAGTCCCAGACAAGAGACGCCTTAAATTTGTAGGACTGCTATCAATTACGAAAAACGTAATCTGAATGAGTGATATGATCAGACTCATTAGTTCGCTTCAATGCTAGACGAAAATCAACATTGTAATGAAAAGACATGTTATTTTTTTGCAAAATTTGTTTCAAAAAGTGTTGTAGAGATGGTCAGTTTTCTATTCGACACAGGTTTTCACATCTTAGATTATGCTATTACTTATGACTTCTGTGTTTGATTGATGCGGTTGGTAAATAGATCTTGATCTGTTCTACATATGTATTAATATATGATTCCGATGATATTTTGACTATGTCAAAAACTTGTCGTACAGATTTTATAACATTGTAATATAGTCAACGCTTCCATCTGCTCATATTTTTTAATTTTGTTCTGCGATGTCTTTTGTGATGATCGTGTACAACACTTATCTCATATTTATTCATTATGAATTCGAATATAATTATCAGAGAGTGAGTAGCAATAAAGTGTAGAGAAAGTGAATTAAAGTAATTCATAGAGTCTCAACACATTGCAATTAGCGTTCTAAATGTGACAAAAACAACAAATGCTTCATTCTAATTGATATAACACAGAGGAGAGGTTGACTGACTCCATAAATTCATGTACAAAATGCAATTGCAACCATAATATGGTCTCGAAAAAAGCTTTCTATTGAATGAGTGATTCTACGTTGTGGAGTGCGTGTATGTAAGTACGTGTATAGACGTGTGCGTGGATATGTATATTATGTGCACTGTGTGTAATAATCTATAATATGTCAGTTTGTGAGCAAACACCTGAAGTGTAGTATGGTGTGTACATAGATGTATGAAGTTTGTGTGTGCATGTGTACGTGTATAAATGGATATATGTGGCGTGAGCAATGTTGGTAAAAGTAAACAGCGTGGGCATGATATAGCCTGGCGTGCGCGTGTGTAGATGTGCGGATAGCGCACAAATAAGCAAGTGCAGTGTGTGTATTGAGAGAAGTGCATTTGTGTAGATAATATGGTATGGTGTATCTAAATTTCATTTTTCGTAAAGAAACCTCCTGATAATTATTGAGAATAAAATAAGGATCATAAATATTGCAACGCGATGCGAGGACTCAATGAAATAGAGATTTCATTTTTCATAGTGAGAAAGCATTTTTGATATCATACAAAATGATCTACTACAAGGTCGTTCTAAGTGATATTTTAGAGTTAGTATTTGGAATAGGGAGTAATTAGGCAATAACCTTGAAGTTTTGGTTAATGTTTACTAATTAATTTAATATCTTCAGCATAAAAAGTTTCAGATTGTATTTTGCTGTATCGCAATTTACGCATTTTTATTTGAATGACATATAATGGCTGTGGTGTCAGAAAATGTTGCGACAAATGCTCTTGAAGTGATGTTCGAATCGTTTCGAGAAACGTCGGAAAATGATCGAGTACTAAAAGACGTAATTGTCAATTTTTTGTTTTATTCTTTGTTACATTCAATTAGTAAAAGCTTTGCTTGTTGCTTACAATTAACATCATATTTAAGCTTAGTTAAGCATGTTGTGATTCAGATTGACTCGTTGCATTTGACTTAAGCTCAATCCATTCTTTCGTATGCAAAAGTTTTGTCACTTTTATCAAGTTCTGGTAGTCAATTAGAATTATATATTTTTGGGCATTAGTTATGCTACTTGCTCTTTTTTTTTTTTTGATTTTCAGAAAATAAATGAACTGGCGCATGAAATAGAATATAGGTTGTCAAAGGCTGTAATGCTGTTGCAAAAAACACATAGATCCAAGGATGCAAAAGGTAATTATCATTTGTGTTTGGTTAACTTTGTAGAAATTTTAATCAGTTTTAGCACTTCGCTGTACCAGCTTAATTTCTGTAATGTTGAATAAGCTTTTGAAAAACAGTTTCTTTATAAACAGGGTTACTAAATTTCTGCTTTGTAGTCAAACAATTGCTAGAAGTTCACAACATTCTTCAGAATGAAATTAAGGAGTATATTGTGATGCTTGGCGCCCTAATTCCACCACTAACGTATTATCGGTTAGTCTGTAATTATTTCAACTTCACTAAACTGCCAGTATTTCATATACCTATGCTTTCAAAAATGGTTCTTTAAATGGTTTTAGTATTCTTAACTTACAAATGATATTTAGTTGAGTAATCAGTTCAGCATTGTTTCGGTTATCATTACAAATGTTATTTTGTCTTTTATGTTTATAATACGGCTTAAAATTTGAATTCATGTTTCTAGAAAAAAATAAGAAATATCATTTTAATTCTTTGGTATGCAAGTTGTTGTCAACGTTTTTAAAATTATATCTCAGAATCAGCAGTAATTTACTTTTCGAGTACAAAATCGTGCCAGCTAAATCATTTAAAAGTTATTTTCAGTTATCTTGATTATTTCTTCAGATATCACGAAAATTTCCGTTATACTATGCAGAAACTTTGTTTCATCGTAACTTATGCTCACTTTTTGGAGCACGAAGCTTTGATAAGTCGAGATAATGTTGCAAAAATCTTCAATCGTAAGTTCATAATCAAGAACAAGAAATGCTTTAAAGCTGCTTGAGTATTTTTCAGTTATGTCCGTTTATAGAAGAGACCATATATTTTTTACTGATATAACTTGTAAAATTATTACTTAAATAATTGTATTTTTAGTAAGTACCGACTCAGCAGCAGGATTTCATCTAGATATTGAGGACTATTTGTTCGGCTTACTTCTACTTGCTAATGAACTCTCACGATACTCATTTAATGCTGTTATTTGGGGTAACAATGCATTGCCTTTTAAAGTTGGTTTTCTCCAATGTTTTGTTTTATGTCTTCACTCGGTTGACATGCTTTCCTTTTTCTGCATTTATTATAAATATTTAATCAAGAATTAAGTAATCAGGGAACAATTTTCTGTCCGTGAGTTATAACTAAATTTTTTTTGTCACTTTTATTCACATAGTTCTGAATTTAGGCTTATTTTGACTTCGAGGGTTCAGTTGTTTCGTATTTTGCAGATTGCTGATTTCTTATATGATCTGGATGCGAAATTTCGATTACTGAATTTAAGAAATGACAAGCTGCGTATAAGATACGATTCATTAAAGTATGACGTTCAAAAAGCAGAGCAAGTTGTTTATGATCTTTCAGTTCGTGGGTTGAAGCAAGAAAAGCAGCCGACAACAGCTTGAGTCCATTCTTGTTGCGTGTTTCTGATTTGAATCTGTTGTCTTTTTGATTTTTTGTAAATAGGTGTCATATTTTTTAATTTTTCTTTAAACGTTGATTCGTTTTCAAACAGTTATCATCAATTTGATACAGTTCTCGAGTTTTTTGCATGTTGACAAATGTTTGTGTTAATTTTCATTTATATCAAAAAGATAGCCCTAAAAGCTCTTTTATTAACTGCTTGAATTTGTATGTAAAAATCAGCTCTAGTTTACCAGATTTCATCAATTGTATTAAGATCAGTTTTTGAAATAGTTGCATTTAGGGACGTTTCTCATTTTTCATTCCAAGGTAGCTGTTGACTTTACTCTCAAATGTTTTAAAAATGTGAAAATATGGTGCGAAATTGCTCACAACCTAACAAGCCTGAGAGAGTTATAGCTTTCTGTGACATGTAAATGGCTTTAGCTAATTTGCACCTTATGTTTGTGTAGTTATTTGTCCATGTTTCTTCCTTATCAGAGAGTTGTAAATAAAGTTAATTTTTATAAACGCTAAACTCTGCAGTATGTAGCAATCAGTTAATAAAAGTTAGAAGCAAACAAGTAAAAGCTTAGTCTTCATTCAGCGTGATATTTGAAATCTTTAGTAAGTAAGGTATTTTTACAATTTTTTGTACAAAAGATACGAATCGCAGTTTCCGAAATCTATAAATTGAAAGAGTAGACGTTACATAAGCTACAAGTGTTATTTCAAATTAATGGAATTGAGTCGGTTGAAAGTACCAGCTTGACCAATTTCCAGTCTTCTCACTGAAGGACAAATTTAAAATACAGATCATAGTATAAAAAGTAGACATGGCATCTGTAAGGTCGGTGATCTGTTCAAGAAAAACTTGTCAATACGACCGCTGTTTCTTTCAACTGCCAATCGTTTCACTGAAGATTGTTTTTGAAGAAACAATCATTTTAATTATTTGTTGAACAGAAACAGCGCGTGGACGTTTCATTAAATTGTCTAATCAAAATAATCACGAAGTATTGAAAGTTTAAGAACAATAATATAACAGTAGCAAATATTATTATTTTGTTTTTGAAAAGAAATATATAAATACAAATATATTTATTATAAGAAGGATTTAAACAAAAATTGTAATAAAAATGATTTATTCATTTCTATGATAAAAATTTCACAAAGAGTAATAGAATAAAAAAATTGTATGGGAATTAATGATTTATTTATTTATTTGTTAGGGCAAAAATGTTTGTAAAATGATAGGTATGCAAAATATGCACAAAATATGTCTACCCCTGCGATAATCTGCATTCATTTCTTATCAGATTACATATTTTTTTTAGTGTTTCATCTTTTAAGTAAAATTTATATTAAAAATATATGAATCAAAAACTAAAATAATTTAGTGAAAT